GCTTCACTTAAAAATTGTGTGCATTCGTTATTGTGCATTAAGGCAAACTAATGTACATTTGTTTCGTACCTCACATTAGAGCAGTGGTTGTCAACCAGGGGTACGTGTACCCCTAGGGGTACTTAAAAAGGCCGTGGGGGTATGCAGAACTCCACGTGCGTGCCTGCAGCAGCAGCACAGCATGCAGGTGGCCAAGAGAGCAGCCTGGTCCGGCTGGTAAGTTTGTTGTGAGGGGATTGAGTGGAGCTGGGGCAGGGGCTGCCCAGCAGGGGCAGGGTGAGGGAATGAGCTGCACAGGGGGGCAGCTCCCACCGCTATATGCACCCCGAGAGGTCATGGGGGGACATGTGCCCCTGGATCTGATTGTGGGGCGCAGTGGGCCGGGGCCGGGGCCAGGGCAGGGCTGGGTTGTTCCTGACAGGGGTGTTGGGCTGGGGTGTGCTGGGCAGTTGGAGGGGGGGGGACTACGGCGAATTCTGGGGTGGCTGCAGCCCTACCTGTAGCCCCCCTCCCAACACCGCTGCTGCCCACCCTGAGCACAGCCCGGCCCAGCCCCTGCCAGGAACAGCCCGGCGCACCCCTAGCCCCAGCCTGCCCATGCCCTGCACACACCCCAGGAAGGCATGGGGGGGCATGTACCCCTGCATCTACTTGAGGGGCATGGCGGGCTGGGGCCGGGGCAGGGCTAGGCTGTTCCCAGCAGGGGTGTTGGGCTGGACTGCACTGGGAGGGAGGGGTTGGGGGGGGGCTATGGTGAATTCTGGGGTGGCTGCAACCCCTCCCACAGCCCACCTCTCAGCGCCACCGCAGCCCACCCTGAGCGCAGCCCCCCCGCTTGGAAGAGCCCAGCAACCCAGCTCACAGCAGCAGCCCACCTGCCCCCGTGCACAGATCCGGGGGCACATGGCCCCCATGCCCTCCCAGGGTCTGCACAACAGCGGAAGCCGACCCTTCTCCCCGTGCCCCCCTCCTGCCCCACTTCCTCCCTCACCACGGGACCTCGATCTGCCCCCCCCACTTAAAAACAACAAAATATATGTAAAAGGTACATAAGCTGAAACTTTGAGACAGAAAGGGTACACTTGTTAAAAATGGTTGAAACCCCCTGCATTAGAAGTATTAAATGTAACATGCATTAGGAAAAGTGTCTTAATGCATGTATAGAAATGCTTGAGTAATACTATCACATCCCTCAGTGCGCACCAGTACTACTCTCAGCCCCTTCTCACTGTCCCACCAAGGACTTTTTGGCTAGTGGATCAATGCATAGTTTACTCACTGAGTACTCTGTCCTTATTCTGCATTTAACCTGTCCCCTGACTTGTGTTCCCTCAGGGATGGATTAATGAGTTTAATCCTTTAGCACACAAAGTTCTACAGTTCCATTACTGGGAGTGCCCACGTCTTCGGCGTTCAGCAAGATTTTAGCCTTGTACAACTGGAAGGAACTGGGAAATTTACTCTTAAATCTTCAGTTATGAACAACCCTCTGTAGATGCACAGGACACATAATGGATAAAAGGTAGGAAGTGAACCAGGACCTGACCCTATTCCCATAAATATTTTGCTTGCCTGAGATGCAGCACCTCCAGGAGTGGCTGCTATAATGCCAAGGCTACTCCTGAACGCTCTGGTTAGAGTCACAATTTACCCCTCTGTGTGAAAGCATTTTTTAGGTAGGTATTGTAACAAGTATTTTGGATATTCTGGGGCTGTAGAAACTTGAGCAAAAGAAATGTTTTAAATGTTGCTTTTTCCACTTTTTAAAAACAGGGAAAAGACATTCATTTCACTTTAGAGAGAGAGAAAAGATGTTCTTCAAATGGATTGTGCACTTAGCAGTTTGGTTCTTGGTGCAGGCAGTAACAGGTAAAAATATGTTTTGTTTCTGAATGCTTAGACCAGTGGTTTTCAACCTGTGGTCCACGGACCTCAGGGGTCTGCAGACTATGTCTAAAGGATCTGCAAAAGAGCCATAAATAGTGATCAATCAAAAGTGTGTGAATACCCACACTTAAAAATTTAAAAGGGGTCCACACCTCCATTCAAGACTTCCAAAGGGGTCCTCACCTCCATTCAAAATTTTTTAAGGGTCCACAAATAAAAAAAGGTTAAAAACCACTGGCTTAGACAAAGCTCTTAAATATGCTAATTTTGTTTTTCTTTCAGTCTGAGTAGTTTGTTAGCAAATACTTTTCTTACCTTTGACTTCTTTAGGTGGTTGTTATGAAATAAAGCAGTTGGGCTTTTGTTCAGGATTCTGTTTTAATCAAATCAGTGAACATTTACTGAAGTGTACAATAAACAGGTATAATCTAGAACCCTGAACTGTTGTGCAGCTACTAGTGAAACATTTTCTTTTGCCTTATGGAGGTTCTTGCACTTATTAACTATTTGTTTGTCCCCATTCTATTGCAGAAAAATGCCAGAAAGCACATATGTCTTCAAACACTGCTTCTCAAGTCTCCTATGGATCTAATATCACCCTCTCATGCCGGCTAACGCAACAGGAGCGATGCAACAAGATAGCCATATTCCATAATGGCTCTGACATAAAAAGCATTCATGGCACTGAAATAAGCACTGACATTTCAGTTCTTGACTATGGCAGACTTGTGTTTACTTGCAAATTATTATGCGAGAACACAAAAAAGCTCATTTGTGGAATTGATATAGAATCTGGAAGTAAGGAAACATTTGGTTCACTATTTGTTATTCTTGCGCATTCTTCCCTGGCTGTCAAGTGCACTTGGCCCCTGAGGAAAGCTTCAAAAGCTGAAAATGGGAGGACTCCTTCCAAAAGGGGACCAGGGATGGGTAGATTTAATTCACTTATACTAAAGTACTGTGGGCTGAAAGGTGGTTACCTAGACAAGGCAACATGGGCAAAGGGCTCTGCATATACTGAATGCCACACAGGTATGTGGTACAGGGAGGATGTATGTGACAAAATTGTTTTTGTCTCCTTGTCATTTCTTTGGGGACAACTTAGACACATGCATCACTGTCCCTGTGTGTTTGTGTATTGTCCTTCCCCCCACCAAACAGACTGGATTAATGTGGCACAAACATTTGGTGTGGAAGGGAAAGATCCTCAGGCAGTGTTCTGTGGAAGGGTCCACAACAGTATGAGTCTGGGAAAGAGTCCAATATAGGGAGTACTGGAAAAGGATCTCTGAATAGATGGAGCTGGCTTCCAGGTGATCCCCAGGTCTGTGGTTTGGGGGCAAGGCAAGCTCCCTGCAGTCCTCCCACCCCAGCAGGGATCATAAGAATCTGTGCTAATGGGATCCCAGAGCATTCAGAGTAGCCTGTATTAACTGGTGTAGTGCAAGGGGTGTTTCCCCTTGATGTGTTTTGTTTTAAGGGGCCAGCAGTGAGTTGCTGTAAGCAAAGCTTTTCGGCCTGATTCTGTAAAGAGCTGTGCACATTTAGGCTCATGTCCATTGGGAGCCTCCTGTTAGGAGAGACAAATTGTGCAGAATAGTCAGTGATGATTAGGCCCTTAGCTTGGTCTCCTGTGAAAAAAATAGCCTGATTAAAGAATAGGTGTGTTCTAAACAGGGCCTAAAAACACAAAAAGCATACCAGACTTCTCATGTGAAAAACAGTTACCTATTTCTTCTCCACCTATTGACAAGAAAATCTGCTTAAGATCCTCCAGATCAGCCAACAAATGTATCCTGTATTCAGTTTGGAGAAGATGGCAATCCAACTTGCAGATGGGATAAAGGAAGATTTACCCACATAAACACTACATACATGCTGCAGTAAGTAACTGCTGGATAGGGGGTCCCTTAAACCTAGAAGCAAATAATATCTCTGGGGGCAAAAATCTTTACTGTTTCTGGCAGACCAACTCCTTTTTATCAAGGCAGAAGTTCTTTAGGGAGAAGCAAAGTAGAGACAGTGCAAGATTCCCAGGGAACTAAAGGTTATTCTAGTTGCATAAAGCATCTGTCAGCTCATGTTTTTATCTATAGCAGCATAGCCCCTACGTGACCACAAGGGTACAAAGACTGCATCATGTTCCAAGTGATGCTTTCCCCTAGGAAGTGAATGTTTAATACTGGGAAGCAGCTTGCTCTGCGCCAGGGATGCCCTCACTTACTCTCTGGCCTGTTCCTGTATGACTGGAAGTACTTCCAAGAAGAGATCGAAAGCCTATAGCAGCAGTTCCCAAACTGCAAATCATGACCCCAAATGGGGTTGCAAGATCAGCAGATGGGGTTGCAGGGGTGGGGGGGCGGGCTGTGGGTTTGGAGTAAGGGGCCATGCTGAGGAAATGGGGCATAATGGGGTCATGCTGAGGAAAAGTTTGGGAAGCACTGTGGGAACCTGTTTGGGAACCTGGCTAGTGGCAATGGCTTAGAAATGTGTTATTTTCCCTTGCTGCTCAGATACCAGGGGTAGAAGAGAGATTTAGTTTCTAGTCCTACTAATACCCCCATCAGAGCAGATTAGAGTCTATTGTGGAAGTTTTCCAACAGGGGATGACGGTAGGGAGCTGCACATAAACTTTGCACCTTGAGGTACCAGGAGAAGTAAATCAAGTCTCTTTCAGTACAGGAGATGACAAGCACTTTATGAAGACCTCTTTCTACTCAGAACAGTGTTTTGCCCTTTGGAGACAGTGGGACAGGTTGAGCTGCTCTCCAGGCAAAATGGCCTCCCAACGGTTTTATGTATCAGCTGGTTCCCCTTTCCCTCCTGGTGTGCAAAGGCACAGCTGGGCAGCTGCACACCTGCACCAGCCACATGATACCTGGGCAGGGCTGGCTGCCACAGTGCAAGTCAGCTGCCATTGCAGCTGCAGGTATTTTTGTGCCCTCTGCCCCCCAAAGTTAGTGCCCAGGGCTGTTGATTTGTTGCCCCCATTCCTAAATTAAAGTACTGATGCTATGGTCAGTATTTTTAGTTCTGGTTACCAGATGGCATTACTGTTTGTACCGGTAATACAGGCAGTCCTCTGACTTAGGACAAGACACGGGTTTTCAGGAACCAATTGTAAGTCAAAAAGTTGCAACTCAGAACTGATTTTCCCATTGGAAACAAAGTTATAAATAGGGGATTAGTTCCTGAACCAAGGCCTGATACCCTATTTTCACCAAAAATGCCCCAGAATTTTGTACTCAATCAATTATAGATGAGTAATATAGCTACATTAATTCCAGATAATGTAGCTACATTAATAGAAGGTATCATTTTGGAAACAAGAGTTCTATTTTTTTGTATAGCTACATTAATGTATTTCTATTGTAAATAGCAATCATACTGATTCAGAAGGACTTCTTTGAGGTGAATTTGCTGGACTTTTTCAAGGGCTCTTGGTTGGACTTTTTCAAGGGCTCTTGGCTAGAGTCTTTTTGGGAGTCTTGGCTGCAGGTTTTTCTGGAGTCTTGTCTGCTTTCTTAAAGAAAGTATCCAAGGAAGTTTGGACAGATGTTCTTTAGGGAGATGGGTGACACAGCGAACTTGTTCGCTGGCATGGTGGCACGTTGAATCAAGTGTTGTAAAGTCAAAACTGATGTCAGAAAGTTTAAACAGGGTGTCAATTTATAAATGTTATAAGTGTGAAATGTTGTAACTCAAATCATTGTAAGTTGAGGACTGCCTGTAGAAACTTGCCACCCTCCAATCCAAAAATATGATGAGAAATCAAATGACAAGTAAAAGGAGCAAAATGTGTGAAGAATGTCGTGAGAGATTTTTCTCACAGTACATTTGACAGTTAATTAGCATTTCTGTACCTTTGTGCATCTTCACAGCACTTTACAGCCCTTAACTAAGATAGGCTAGTCAGCCACAAACACCTTGTCATGCAAATTCAACCATCCCTACTTCAGAGGTCAAGAGAAGGAGGCAAAGAGGTTAAAGGGTGTGCTCACCTAATCTCAGACTGAAATGTTAGTGGAAGACTAGAAGGTGTTATTGGTGGACTGGGACTATCCTAGCCAATCTTCCGGCTTCAAGTTCTGTGTTCGGACAACTCTTTCACATAAGCTATGCAAAAAAAAAGACGTACCAAAAACAAACAAATAAAAATCCTAGTCACCACAAACCTCTCTGCCCACTGCTGTTAACAAAGACTACGTAGTTAATTTTTCCATTGTTGTAGAAGTAATCTACCCAAATACTTGCAGCCCAGCATCATTTTAGCAGTTTGCTTTACATTTGTGGTATAAAGTATTTAAACTAGGGGTATCAAACACATGGCTTGCATGCCAGATCTGGCTTGTGGAGTTGCATGATCTGGCCCATGGGGTCACTGGACCAGCCCATCACCCGCTCCCCACGTTGCATGCAAAACATGGGCTGGAGTCAGTGCCACATGTTGTGCACACAACATGGAGTTGGTCCAGGGCAGGCACTGCATGTGTTGCCCTGATAGCACAGCCCTGTGTGCTTGCTCTGGGACCAGCGCAGATTAGGCCATGCTGGGATGAGCACAAAGTGCCAGTCCAGTGGGATGCCGCATGCGGTACATGCCATGGACTGAGCACCTGTGCTACATGCAATATGCCTGGCCAGTTCATGCAGCACATTCTGGCACCAGGGCTCACTGTGCATGCAGTGTTAGCACAGGGCATACTCTGGATGTGACATACTGGGGCTGCGGCAAAGGCTGCATGCAGTGCTCTGAACAAACTCCTTGTGTTGCCTGCAGCACTAGGTCCAGGCTGCACAATGCGGGCAGTGCATACCCTGTGTTAGCCCCATGTGCACAGCGAGCCCTGGGACCACCATATGCTGTGTGCAGTATGTGAGCTTGGCCCACCTGCCATGAGCACTGCACAGGGGGATCAGTCCTAGCCTGGCCTCTAGTTCAACACCCTTGGTTTAAAACAACTACAGTTAAGTGCTAATCTGTCAGATCATGTCATTTCTTCTCCATTAGAAGTGGCCATCAATTGAAAAAGGTTGTATATTAATGAGAAGAAACCATGCTAGATTCCCACCTGGTCTAAACCTGCATAGTTGTCCAGAGATAAAGAGGGAAGTTCACCTTGTTACATCTGCCCCATAGCATGTGTGTTGAAGCCTTTAAGCAAGAATTGCTCTTCTTTTCTAGGCTGTCAAATGGAATGGATATCTTCAGTTTTTCAGAAAAGAATGTGAATAATAAATATGGCTTACTGGATCTGAGAAAAAAGCTGAATTTTGAATCCAGTTACACAGCTGTGGTTGCTGCTTCAAATGGGCTGGGAAGTGCTTTTTCAAAGCCACTCACATTCATGTTAATAGACATAGGTAAATGTTTATTTTGGTGTATTCTGGGTCCTTGGTAAGAAGTGTTTGAATATGCCAGTGCAAATCTAAATAAATGTAATAAGTAGTCTGAATAACTAAAGGGCTATTGCTACTGCAGCATTACATTTTACATTCTGCTGTATATCTAAGTGGCCTTTTTTTGTCTTTGCTACTAGTGAAACCTCACCCCCCAACAGATGTTATAGTGAAATTTGACAATAATTCTGCAACAAATTGCACCATTGTGTGGCAGGATCAACAATCGACACAACACTTTAGACTGAGATATCGACAAGTTACCAGCCAGCAGTGGACTATGGTAATACTACTTTGGTGGGGGGGGACTGGTTGATTATTGGGGTTTTCTTTACTATAGTTATATGAATAGTCCCACTGAAGTCAAACATTTGAGTCTTTGCAGGAGAAGAACCTGAGTGTTTGGCACAACCCTTTGTTCACACACAAAAGTATTTCTGACTTTTTTTTTTATAACTTGTAACTCAAAATGAAGTCACACAGCTTCCATTTGTTAAGTTAAACAAGTACCCCACCTCCCACTGAAGTTAATGGAAGCCTTTAAATGGGAGCCAAGTCAGGCTTCAAATAAATGTAATAGCATAAAAATGTAGAAATAGTGTGTAAAGCATTAGGTGAACAGTGGAAGATGTGGTAATCTACCCGTAGTTAAAGAGCGGGGGTTTTTTCCCCCTAAAGAATTCACAGATTCACTGAATTGCAAGTCTTTGCAAGAATTCATTATGGTTCTTTTATCATAGGTTAGTCAAAGCTGCTCATAATTAGTTTTTCATTAATTTTAAAGGGTTTTTTTCTGCATATGATTCAAACATAAAAAATTCAGAGCATTGCTGCCTTTAGCCCTTATTAAATATGCTTAAATCTTAATTTCATTAAAGGTTAACTGGTTAAGTACTAGAAGATACAGCTTGCAAGATCTGAAGCCATATACAGAGTACGAATTTCAGGTTAGCTGCAGGTTTCATCCCAGCCGTGGAATATGGAGTGACTGGAGTACATTTCAAACACAGACTTCGGAAGCTGGTAATAAAAACAAAAAAAAAAAAGTACAGGTTGTTGCATTTAGCCTGTGTGTAAAAAATCTGTATAGAAATAATTTGGGAACAAGTTAAAGCGAATGCATATGAAATGTGGGGCAAGTTCTACTCAGGTACAGAGGTGTAAATTCAGAGAGAGAGACGGACAAGAACATTTTTCAGTGTTTTTGAAGCTCTGCATGTGGCTTAGAGTCCCAGAAGCCCGCCAAGCTGAGAGCCAAGCAGCTAGTAGAGCTTGGGAGGCAGGCGGCTTGGAGAGCTGTGGTCGTTTAGTTGGGGAAAGAGCAAAACCTTTTATTTCTCACCACCTGTGTTAACCGAGTAGCACAGCAACCCAGGATTCACAGATGTCCTGAGTAACCAAAAGCATGAGGATGCTGTGCCTGAGGGGCTACTGAAACCTAGTGGTGATGAATCATAAACAGGGCAAGCTGAGAACCAGTGCTCCTAGATCTCCGTGAGCTGGGAGCAGCTAACCAGGGGCAAGATTGGCAGACTGCTGAGAAGCCTGGTGGGGGGGTAGAAAACCACCTGATTTGTCTCATCCAGGAGCAGAGAGCAAGCTAAGCAGTGTTAGTCTGAAAGCAAGCGGGAGGTGGGCAGCATCTTGAGGTGCCTGCAGATGCGCGAGACATCTACTCCAATGTGCTGTAATTACAGCGTGGCGGAGTAGACTTAATTAATTGAGTCTGCTGGAGCATGCTAATTAGCATGCTTCAGCAACCTCAGTGTCTCATGTATTGAGCCTCCCTGTGCTTCAAAATGGCGGTGGGGGCACTTTAACTAAAGCTTGTCAAATGAGCTTTAGTTTAAGTGCCCCCTTTGTCACTGAAATGCGGGATGCTGAATACATGAGTCCCTTGAGATCCACACTATTGTGACAGAGCAGAATCTGGCCATTTGGACTGGAAGCAGCTAAGCCCACAGTAGAGTATGAGATGAACATGAGGCATTTACACTACTTTGCGCATTAGGAACAGCTGACATTTCCAGGAACATACAGTCTGACTGAAGAGATTAATATCAGTTGCTGCGAACTCTAATATCAGATGCATGTTGCTCATGCTGTGGGGTCGTATGTCTGCTGGCTTGACTTCAAATTGAACTGTATGCAGCAAGGTCTTACAAAGTTTCAATTCTCAAACAAGAGACTTTCTGGAAGTCTGCATTCAAAGGTGTGCTTAGTTTCAACTTCTTTTATCTTACATATACCTTTCCTTCCCCCTCTCTCACTCTCTTTTTTTTTTTTTTTGCAAATTACTAAGATATTTACAGGATCTTACAATTACTCATGCTGTTTGCCACTACTGACAGCATCACTTTCTGGATGAAGCATTGATTGTTACAAGGTGTGAACTCCCCTCCCCCCTCAACATTTTCCTTCACTTAACTTTCTGGATGCCTGTTGAGCTGCTAGATTTCAGCTCAATGAAAACATTTCAGTTAGGACAGCTTGCAGGGAAGCATTTAGCTGGAAAAATGGGAAAACACATAACATGAAACAGGACTGTCCAATTTCTTAGCAACCCAGGACTGCAAATCTCATGGGCTGCACCAGCAGGGCCTTATATTGCAGGGGCTGCATTAATGTAAGCCATGGGCTCCTCAGGCACTTCCCACACCCACCACACTGGGCACATGGGTGCCCCAGTCCTACCCTCAGCTCCCCAAGTGAGGGATCCTCCACTGCATCACACTGGTGCCCCACGTCATGGGGTGGCGCAAGAAGCAGAAGCCAGAGGGAAGAGGAGCCCCAACCTGGATGCTGCAGACAATCCTTTCGTTGTTTTGTTACTTTACTGATTGATTGTGGTAGAGAATGATCTCGGAGGCTATCCCGTTCCACAGCAGGGGGCAGGGACGACGACAGACAGGACCTCACGTTCTTTTATAACCCAAGCAGAAGCCACCTGAAGATAGCAGAGATTCCCGTGCTAGAGCTAAGGTCTGGTATGAGGGTAGTGGAGCTGAGACTTGCAGGGATAAGGCGTTCTCTTGAGGCAAACTGGTCTGTTCTTCAGGACAAGCAGCAGGACAGTAGGAAGAGACTTAGAGCTCTGGGAGCACAACCAGATGTGTTTATGACAATGACCATGTCTCATTTTTATGTCCTAGATATGAAGGGGTGCCCCAGAATGTTATTGCTGTCTCCTTTGTTTTAGGGCCATTCCTGGCATAACCTGTCTGTAATCCTGCTGCTCATGCTCATCACCCATCCAATAATACATTTCTTAAGTGCCCTCATCTCTGAGCATTATACACGGGCCAAAATATAAGACTGTTGTTAACAACATCATTACTATCAACATTTTGCTGATATGCGTCACAGTGCTCTCATTAACACTCCTTTTCTTTCCCAACTAGAGCCAGTTGGGCTGTTAGATGTGTGGTACATAATGCAGGATACAGATTCCCAAAGACAAACTGTTACTCTCTATTGGAAGGTAAGAGTCTCTTAATATAAAGTGAATTTAAAAAAAAAAAGGTAAAACAGTTTTGGGCACAGACTGTGTCAATACAGGACTCGGCCTGAGGAAGACTCAGCTAACCTGCGTGTGTGCAGTAAGGGAAATCGAGTCTTCTCTTTACTGGCTGGTGCAGTAAGGATGCACCAGGAAGGACAGTCAGACAGGCTAGCTGGTGCCTAGCGGAGAAGGTTTTTGGGCTTTTTGTTTGTTTGTTTGGTTTTGGTTTTTTGGGTTTGTTTTTTTGAGGGGGGGGAGGGTTGGTCTCACAAGATGGAGAAGCACACAACCTGAGAAATAAAAACATACCCCCAGTTAGTATTTTTTTACTCTTTTCCTTTATAAGGCTTATCCCCGCAGGTAATTTCACCTCCCTTCCCAGGGGACAAGGGAAAATGATATTCACTCCCTCATCCCCAAGTGTCCTAATCTCCTTCTCTTCCCTGCTAGCAGTGAGAACTGAAATTTAAGACATTTTGGAATCTGAGGTTTGAAAATGCAATCTTTTATTCAGAAGAGGAGGGGAATACATCTCCCCCCCCCGCCCGTTTTGCATTGTTATTGGCAGAGTTGTACCATCCAAGTAAAGACTAGGGCAAGGAAGATGTTGCCTACAGCCCTGCACACTGCATGAACAGGTTCCCCTCTGCTGCTTTCAGAAAAATCTTTTGCTCATCTTCCTTTCTCTGCAAGACAAATCCAAGTTGAATCACCACATGAAACTTGTGAGTGACAGACACTATGACCTGGCAAGTCTTCTTATCTTGATCTTCTGTAATTTCCAAGTAATCCTTGGGACCCTCTAGTGATACCAGAATATGAAACTACTAGCAATATCCCATTGTACTGGCTTGACTTGCCTCCATGAGGCACTGAACAGAAAAACAAACAAAAGACACACAAAAAACCAAACCATAAAAGTGTCTTTGCAGACAATAAGAACATTGAATTTCTCCAGTATTGCAAACATGCAGAACTCACAGAAAAAAATCTTCATATTTACTTAAAAAAATTAAAGAGTTCATTTTTTTGCATTCTGCTTTTGAGTCTTCAGGCTACTCAAGTCACATTGTCAAGCTTCTCTTTAGAAGCACAAGGCTGAGGCCTTGTTAAGTGAAAGTACACATTCTTAAATAATACTTTGACTCCAGTAGTTGCGGCTTTAAGATGAAAGATTTGCAATAGGATCAGGGAGTTAGCAACATTTTCTTTAGCAGACCAGACATCCATCAGCCTCATTTATAGGATACAAACATGGAGTGAGATCATAGCCATGATGGTCTAGGAAAGATGCAAGGGGCAAGGATTTTTGCAGATTATATTTTTATTAGACTAACCACATGTCCGGTGTAGTATTTAGACTTTAGTGTTCGCTGCAACAGTAAACAGAGTATAGCACAGTCAAACAGGTGTTCTGCATGTGCTTAGTTTTTTTGTCATAAATATGAAAATATGAAAGTGACACTATCAATTTTATTTCGAATCGGTTTCAAATAAGGCCCTTCAAGCTAGTTTCAGTTACTATATTTGCTCTGGGTCCCTGCCAGTTTGATTATAAAATTGCATTTTCCTTTTTTTTTTTTTTTTTTTTTT